TTAGAATAATCTTATCTTACTCTTCTTTCTTATTGAATACTAGAAATTATAATACTATTACTCATATAACGAATTGTCGTTGCATTTCTTTTTGTAGAAGAAGATAGTGGTGACCTAGCAAAGCCAAAGATTGGTTTTTCAGAGACAACAGAAGAAGAGCTAGGTAAATACTAATGAGTATTTAAGAATCTGGGGGATTTACAGTTGAAGTAGACATAAATTTTACTCATTGAAAGTTTATTAAATATGAACATATTTACAAAATGGGAAGTTTAAATGTTAACATTTATATAATGCATATTTATAACATAAATATTTAAATGCTTCCTACATAGTAGTAAACACTGAGGTAGAGTATAGATATGACTGATGTGGTTACTCTTACAGAGCTTAGAGTCTTAGGAGACATGCTGAAACAAATAAATTGTTAGAATTTTAAGAGTTATTTGGGGAAAGTTTCCTGGGGAAATGATATTTAAATCAGGACCTGAGGATCAGCAGGAGTGCTTAGGTAAGTATTGAGGGGAGGGGGTTGTGTTGGTAGGCAGAGAATGAAAGATTTTGTAACAGAAGAAAAAAACATATTAACTAAGGCTCATACACAAAAAAGATCACAGCATATGAAGAACTAAGGGAACTTCACTGTGCCTCCAGGTTAAAGGGCAGGGGCAGAGGAGGCTACAGAAAGAAGCCAGATCTTTTGAGGGCTTCGTTAGCAATATTAGGACTTTGAATGTTTTATACTAAGAGCAGTGAGAAATCTTCAAATTTTAAACAAAGGAATAACAATTTTTAAGTTTTTACAGATTGCCTTGGCTGTAGTGTGTAGAAAGAACTGGATTGGGGATAAAAGTGAACACAGACCAGGCAGGGTAGTCCAGATGAGTGATTATAGTTTTGAATAAGGGAATGGCAAGGAGAAAAGATGGCCTTGTGAGTCTTTAGTGGTAGACTTGATAAAGTTTGGTAATTTCATTAAATTGCCGAATGGGGTATAATAAGGAACATTTCAGATTACTAGCATGAGAAACTGGGTTTGATGATTTTTTAGGACATTAGAAAGGAGTTTATCATTTTTCCAATTAGACTTTTCTATAATTTTTTTTTATCATTAACCTCATTTTGCTAAACTTAACGTTTGATGTTTAATGGTTTGATTTGAATAGTATTAAAAGGTAGGATTTGAATAACAAGTGGAGACACGACTTTTATTCAGTGTTTATTGGATAACTAAAGTCATTATAAATTTAGCCCAGAAGAGAGGACCCTTGGAGGTTAAGTTACAGTGTAAAAGAATTCAGTGGCTATAGCACATGAATTCATTTCTTCCTTTTTCATTGGCATGTTTCTGGCTGTTAATGGCAAGTGTCATGACTGTCTTCTCCCCCTTCATCCTAGTCTGCTTTAATTTTTTTTTATTACACAGAAAATGTAGATTTGCTTCTTTCCTTTATTAAATTGATGTGGCTTTCTGTCTTGTAGAAGAAATTGCCTCAGAGAATTCAGATTCCATCTATTCTTCAACTCCTGAAGTTAAGGCCTGAGCATCAAACATGTGCCACAGATAGTATACAACTTAATGGACTAAAACAAGCAAGCAGAGAAAAGCATCAGCCTTCCAGAATTACTCTCTGCTTAAGGAAAACACAGACATAAATAATGGGGGATATATGAATTAGCTCCAGTGTTGGAACAACTAACTTGGTGTTACCTGTAAGTGAAAACTCAAGAGTATTAGATGAACGCAGGGGGAGTTATGCTCTTGTGTGATGGCCTGTTGTCTTTTTAAAAATGAATGTGTGCAAGCCAACATCCAATTTCTCTTATTACAGTTAGATTTCTTGTAGCTGTTTATGTTACTATGGAGAAGAAAAATATATTGACTTATTTTTCTGACTTTTCCATTAAAGCAGAAC